TGGGTGATTCATCAGCCACAGTTAATCCCAGATTAATATTTATCTTGGCGAAACGGGTCTGAAAAAACATCCTGCTTACTAGAGAATCTTTTTCTGATTTCTAGGGCCCAACTCACCTCGCTCAAAGCAAACATTTTAAGTACTACCAGCAGCACTAGACCTCGATTCATTTTGTAATTTTCACAATTTGTATTGTTCTATCTGGCCCGAGCCCCCTGCTTTTATAGCGCACATCTTTCGATCATTAGTGGAGCTCGAAACACATTTTAATTGCGAATATCAATTCAATGAGCCGAGCAGAATTCGCGGTCTCCGTGGCCAACAACCTGAACAAGTTGGTGGCGCAGTTTGAGTAACCCAAAAGTAACAAGCCAAACCAAGCAGAACTCAAATCGAAGCCGAATGCCAATTGGCATACCGAAAGTATCTTAAGAGCTGCTTCAACAAATCCCGAGTGCCAGCCAAGTTTTCGTCTCGCCCAGAAGGGAAAAAATACACAAGTTGCAAAACAAAATTTTGAAACAAAACAAGAAGAAATCGGTGGGGAAAACATTCAATTTTAAGACCGAAAAATTGATACTGTTATTATAAAAAATAAGAAATTAAATCCATTTGTATTTCTTTATTTGTAATCGCCTTACAAAGTGTACTAGTTTTTATTAATCTAAACATTTTTAAGGTGTGAATAATACTAAATCGAATTAACTTAAAATAAAATGGTGTAAAAAGAAAATATAAATCTATACAATAATTATTTGTTGTATTGCTGATAAGCAAATTGAATAGTTTGCCATAGCTTAATTTCAATAATGTCTTAAGCCCACGAATTTAATCTCCAAATCGACAAACTCTTTCCCAAACTTAAATACTAATAACCAAAGTACAGTCAACAACTTTGGATATTCATACTTGAGTGTGTGTGGGTTTGTGTGTGTGGGTATTTTGGGCACTTCCGTTTGGCTGTTGCGCCATTTTGACTGCGACTATTTCCGCTGGTCGCATTAACTGCAGGCGCATAACTTTTCCAATTTGCTTTTGGCAATTATTGATATAAGCCAGCAACAGCAACAGCAAGAGCAATTTGAACGAGCTTCTGTCTGCCACTTCACTCGATCTCCTTCTCTGCCTCTCCCTCTCTCTTTCACTTGCCCTCCACCCATCTCTTTCTAGCAGTTCTTTTCCCTTTCTGGCCATCTCTTTCCAACACCCAATCACGTTTGCATTGGTCCAAGCATATTTTCCTGCATTCTTGCGCATATTTGTGCAACATTCCAAAAATTCTTGAACAAAGTTTCGTTATTATTGCCATTTTGCCGACTCTTGGGCTCTTGCAGTTGGGAGCCTGCCACTTTGATTACTTTTGCAGTTGCCGTTAGATGCAATTAGTTGGTTCATTAGAAAAACAACAACTCCCAGCCCGATAGGAATTCACACACTTAATTAGCAGTCTCGAATGGAGGGGGTGAAACTCAACTCGCAACTCTCACTGATTGCAGACGGTTGCACTTGGCAAATTTCATTTTCACTTATTTTCTTAATCACCCAAATGGTTCTTGGCCCTAGATTTTGTAACACATTGTATCATATCATTACGGATACTTAAAAACAGATAGTAATTTATAGTTCTTTATTAAATATACTAAGTTTGAGACTTTGATGTAAATAAAAATAATATTAGTATGAACAGCAGCCCATAAGACCCATTTGAATACTAAAATTATATTAATATATTCGTTGTTCTTAAAGTTTTGTCATTTTTAAAATATATGTAACTTTTAAAAGGCTATACCCTTAATAACTGTGGGATTTCCTTGAATGTACTATTTCCACCATTTGTAATTTCCCAAGAAAGGCAATATAATTTTGTATCATTTTAAATTTCACTACTTAGTTGTATGCTAAATATATAAATTTCATTAAAATCCTCAAGATTTCGGGTAATTTTCGTCTTCGAGTGCAGGCGAGAAGTTGTATCTTTGTATCTTGAAGATGCCCGGACGGCTGCTTGAGTATGCAAATCGGTCAGCAAACTCAAGCTGAGTGATTTGGCCAACTCTTTTGGCCCTCTGGGGTAAAATTTGCCAGCCCCCCCCCTTTTGAAGAATTTAGCATGCAAGCGGTCATGTGACCCGAGGCTCTGAGCCGGCTCTGTTGCATATTTGTTGCATAATGCCAACTTATGCACTGGCACATTGTTGACCAGTTGTCCGGAATCTCTTCGCTCCCCAGTACATATATCCCATATCCTGCATCCCATATTCCATATCCTCAGCCCCTCGACCTGCATTATTTGCCGCTGTGTCCACTGCCAAAGCGTTTTGGGTTGAAAAATCTACAAATCGCATGCCGCAAACAAAAGCAAATGCCAGCAGAAGGATGTGGATGACTGGATTGGTGGAAGGATGGATGGATGGATGGATGGATGGGTGGATGGATGGATGGATAGATGGCTGAACGCTTAGAGGGATAGATGGTTAGATGGCTGGCATACCAGCATTATTCCACGTCACCGGCCAGTGCACATTTCAAATTGGAAAGGAACGCTGCAAATACTAGGAACTTGGCTAAAATTCTCAGGCAAACTCTCATTCAATGCGAAATAAATAAGTAAATAGTTGAGATGCTCTCGCCGCTGTGACAATTTGACTTTCTTTCTTTATACCAAAACCTCACACTCACTCTCTCTCTATCTTTGCGGTTTAATTTTCCCATACCCTTCGGCATGCAAATCACATACAATCAGAATGAAGTAAACGTGGGCCAAAGGCAAATATGACATTTCAGTCAGCCAAGTAAATAAATGTTAGGCGGCACAAATGGAACGTGCCAAAGCCGCTTGGAGAGTACGAGACCTCAGACACTCGACCCCTGAGTTACCTTCACCTGTGCTCCGGGAACCGGGGACCAGGGACCGGGGTCCTCATCTAGCCCACAGGATCCACTTTTATCCCTGCTTTTTGCCCCTGTCAATCCTCCGCAAACAACTGTGAGGAGTCATTTCGCAGCCCGAGAAATGTGAGGCTCTTCAGATGGATTTTTTATGCTTACGAGTGTCTGGTTAGAAAGGAATGACCAGTTTTTCCGATTTTATATATTATCAGCAAGCAAAATAAGTGTCTTAGTACTGTTTTAGCAATGGGTAAACTATATTATATTATGCTTAAACATTTAACTATAAAATAAATAGTTTTCTGAATTTTATTTGAATTTGTTATTTAACTTATTAAGATATTAGGAATTTCTAGAACCCTTTGAACTAAAGGAAGTAATATATGCACAATTTTTTAAAGATTGTATTGGACTGCAGAAAGTTATCATTTTTTTAAGGACTTCTTAATGCATTTATCTACTGAGTAAAAGATCTGTATGCCAGAAAACTATTTCAGGATTGTAATATAAACAAAATGTTACAAAAAACATAATATGCCATACCTCAGACTTAAATCATATTTCTTCTGTTTTCTTACATATATCCTGCCCATTCTTGGAACCATCTTGGGCTGCTTCGTTTTCCTTTCTTTTTAGCCTACAAATAATTGTATTAAAATGGGAATTTTTTCAATTTGAGAGTTTGGCCTGACAGGACTCGACGACTCCGACCGGCGGACATGTGACAGCCGGGACACGGAGCGAGACAGTCGGGAATGAAGTTGTGGCACGCATTGTCTGAGACTCCAAGGAAGGGGCCAGCGACATTTTAGCCGCCAACCATGTGGGACTTGCTACTCCACTCCTTTTTCCCCCAGCTTTTCCGAGTTGGCTGGGAATTGTTTGATAATGACACTGACATGATGCTGCACTGACAACTAGGCAAGAAACTGGCTTCAGGAGGAGTCCAGGAGTCCACCACCCACTTCCGCATCCTGTCTGGCCCACGGAATTATATACGAAAATTAGTTGAAGCGGCCGCCGCCGCTGGCAAATTTTCTATGTGAGCTTTTCCTTTTCTCCTGATCTCATTTCGTGTTCCATCTCCTATTTTTCCCGGACGCTTTTTTTCCGTTGATTTGCTTTTCGGTTTCGGGCCTTATTTTTGGGAGGCCAGTGCAAGCGGCGCTCTAAATTAAGTTTTAAGCAACATGTCTGCAAAAATCATGCCCCAGGATACTCCAGGATACCCATCCCCATACCCCCACTTGGGCTCCCTTCATCCTGGCTGCTGTCGCTGGCAGTCGCAACGTTTTATTCTTCACCTCCTCTTGGTTTGTTTTTTATTTTATTTCCTTATTTTTTTTTGTATGTATTTCTATTTGAAGAATGGAAATTGTGTTTTGTGTGTGTTTGCTGCAGTAGTGGTCTTCTTCCTTGTCCTTCGTGCAGTTCCTTGAGAAGCTGCAGGACTATTTTTTCGTATTTATTTTTTTATTGTATTCCGCTGGTCGTGCTATTTACACTGGCGCAGTCAACAGTCGCCGTCGTCGGCAGTTGCTTTTCCTGTGCCTATTTATTTATATATATAAATAAATATATATACGCTAGTAGGAGCTGCAGGACGAGTCGGGATTGTACTTCTTCTTCTTGGCTCGGAATTTGTATTTGTGTATTTGTCTTTTAGTTTATTGTGCGGCAGCTAGGCAACTTTGCCTTTTGTATTTGCGCTCCATTGAGGCAAGGAATTCAATTTTAAAATCCCCAAACCAGGCAAACGAGCCAGGGACTTGTGGTTCTGGCTGCATTTGATTACAGTTCCCCCTGCCGAGGGCCTTACTTCAAATGATCGGCGGCCCCGGTGCCTCGACTGGGCTAATTAAACGTGGCGTATACTTGATGGCCGCCTAGTCGCGTATACGCCACGTTGAGCAAACAAGAACAAGCGGCCGGCGGAGCTTAGACAACCGACTTAATAGGGGATAAGCCAGCATCCGGCAAACACTTGGCTGGCAATTAATTAAAAGCCACCGAACAAGCAAGCCAAATATTTAGTCCTTAAACGCAACAACAGGGAACAAAGGCAAGCAACTGGCGAAATCCGATTTTATTTCCGACAATGAGCACCGAGAGGCTGGGAAAAAACCCAAACAAAAATGGATTTTCCCTACATATTGCTGAGCGTCGTACGAAAGTCGTGGATCAGCTGAATCATGGCCACCGTGCATCCCACTGTCCCGAAAATAAGACCTATCAGGATGAGCACTATGTCGCGAATCAGCTTCCACATCAGCCAGCCATATCCTTTGCTATAATTGAGGAACACATCGATTAAAGCCGGACATAGTAGGTTCAGGTTGCTCAGCGAAAAAGCCCCCTCCAATTCAGTGAGAGCCGCTAGATTTGGCACACCCACAGCCACAGCACCTGTGGGTATTAAACCAAATTATTCTAAATAAATTATAATTATTTATAATACGAATAAAAACCCACCTGTGAGAATCAGAAACGCTAACCGAACTATATACTCAATCAACGTCTGATGCTTTCTCCTCTCAGTAGAATTTTTGTAGTCGCTAAAGATCACAGTGATCACTACAAACCCATTTAGGGGATAACTGAGAAATATTCCAGAGGCTATGAAGACTTTTATGATCTGAGAAAGGCTAAACCGAAACCGAAAAATGAAACATTTAAGTGTGTATGTATGAACCCTTAAATTTAAAGTAATAATAATTTGAAAAATAATAATGGTTTGGAATTTTTAACTTTGAGGCTTGCAACTATAATTTTTAACTTTTTTGAGCCAAAATCTTGTCGAGAAAAATGGAGATATAAATAATGAATGGAACTGTACAATTAAAAAGCTCTATCTTAGAAAATAATAGTAAAAACCGTTCGGCAAAATTCGTAATTACAAATTCGAATGTATCTGTATCTTAAAATTATTTGTTTGAAAAAGTTTTTATTTTACCTACATTTCGTTCTTCGGAATGTTGAGGGTAATACTAGCATGGACACTTTCTCCGAACCGCCAATAGCCCATAATGCCAAAGAACATATTTGAAATCAGGATGAAGAAAACTGCCAGGTTTAAAACTCCAAATATGCCCAAGTAGCTTTGCGGGTGCGCCATATGAGCCTCCACAACGAGCATCTAGAAAATGTATCTTTTAAATGGACAAGACTTTTTTAAGATCTTTAAAAACTCACTGAACCCACAGCTGTTAGCGAGAAGGCAGCGATGGCAAAGAACTCAATCCATTCGGCAGGGGGCGTAGCCAACTCACGATTATTGATATCGGGAAGACCGCTGAACAGATAGTACATTATTAGGGCAAATCCCGCATATAGCAGGAAGTTGGAGACCAAGTTCAAGGGCACCAGGTACTTTAACCGGCGGATCATAAAGAGCGGCAGTAGGATCAAACAGGCGCCCAGCACATAATACCGCTCATTGTACCGCTCTCCATAGTGATCGCCGATCTCCTTGAAGTTCTTGGCCACGAAAACCAGATAAACAGTGCACAAAAGGAACTGCCCGAAGACCAGAACGCAGGTGGTTAAAAAACCGGCAGTTCGTCCAAAACAATGGACCCATTTGGGACCCTCCTCATAGGCGATTCTCACGGCTTCAGGCATGGAGACTTGGGGAACCTGCCGCCTCCGACAGCACTCCGTCATGCCAGCGATCTGTTGGCACTGGAGGTAATTAAATCGGAGATCGGGAACATCGAGGTAGCCACTTACAGACCAGCAAGTGGATGGAGTACGTCAGGAGGATCATCAGTAGGATGGACATCACGGAACCCACCACGAATCCCGAGCATCGGAAGGCCAGCGGCATCGCCAGGATCCCCGTGCCAATCACGCATTTTAGCAGGGAAATGAAAGCATCGCAGTTACTACATGTTAAGTGGATATAGATAATAATAATTTTATTAAAAACTGAAAATATAACTGAAGAACATAACAACCGAATGACTTTATTTCAGAGACTTTAAAAAGCATTTGCTTTATTTGTTTAATTATTCCTTGAAATTATGCACTTACACTTTCTGAATCGATATTAACATAACAATAAAACTAATTCATTAAAACAATAATTTATTTTATTTTATATTGCATTACGTACCTTAATTACTTTTTTTGTAAGCCTTAAAAATCTTAAAATGCGGTGTCATAGAAAGATTTTTCTTTGTTTAATATTTACGTACAAAATGAATGACAGAAACTAATCCACCTTAAGGCTTACAGTTCAAATTCAAAATATGCTACTTAGTGAAACCGATTAGGCTCAAAGGGAATAATAATTTCTCTTTATAATTGCCTTTGGCAATTTTAATTTAATCAAATTCATAAAAATGCAATATTCAATTGCAATACAAAACTCACGTCAAGGGCACCTCCACACTCCTTTTCTCGTAGGGATTATAGACGTAGAAAGATGTCATGGACTGACTGCAAGAAATTTAAAATAATTAAATCTAAAGACGATTATAAATCACTGACTGGACGCACTCACATTATGGTCAGCGGCTCATTCTGCGCGTCATGACCTCCCGGTTTTTGACTCTGATCCTGCTGCTTTGGATCCATTTTTTCAGCAACATCAGCTCCAGCAGCCAAAAAAAGAACACAAAAAATCACAAAGGCAACAAAAACTGCCTCGCACTTTTGACAACAATTCCAAATTAGTTTATGCGATTGCGTAACACCGATTCCAATTCCACTTCCGTTTCCGCTTGGCGACCCTGCAGCTGCGCACATTCAACTCACTTACGTTTGATAACTGGCGTTGCATTTACTATTGCCACTACAATCCTGCCGCAGCCCAATCAAAATGGCTGCACATGCGCGCCCATTATCATAATAAGCGCAACTTATTGCCCGTTCCGCGGTCCTGCAGCACATAAAGTTCTCTAACTAACGGCAGATTGCTCCTGCGGTCGCAGGACGAAGGTTATTCGGCGGCGGGGTCAAGGCAACGGGGCCGCAGGAACTGGGATTCTGGCGACAATTTGCTGTAGTTAGCTACAGTTAACACAAATAATAATGGAATATATAGGCTAATTGAGGTCTGTGTCTTTAAAAAATAATTACATTTTTTCCACAGTGTAATTATTTGATTGAAATATAGTAGTTGGGTACCCTCTTTTAAACTATTTTATTGGCTTTTCAACTTTTAAGATCAATATTTAAATATAATTATTTTCCTTATAGATAATTTTATGGTATATTAACTCTTTAGACTTTCTTATTTAATAAAGCAAATATGAAAAATGCCAATTAATTATAAACATAACATGATATAATTATAAAAAACGGGAACATTTTGAATAATATACACCCATTAATGATTCATTTCTCAATCTTAGCTGATAAGACTGCGTTGCAGCAAAGACTATAAAATAGTTTATATCATCTTTGGTTACAAGCAGTCGAAATTTGAAAATTCTAAGGAGTTGAGGATCAAATAAACAAACTATGATTTACTAATTTGATAACTTTATTTATCTTGTTATTATTATCACCATATAGAGGTGATAAAACAAATAATTTCATAACTATACCATACTATACCTATCAATAATTATTATTATACATATTTTTTCAACCTAGAGGCGAATATTTAATGTAGTCAAGTAAGAACTGTAATATCACAATAAAGTAAGTACTCTGGGCACCACCTAATCACGATTACCCTATCCCTAAATTTTCCCCCTTCGTTTGGCTTCACTGTATCCCTGCCTCGATGGTAATCTCCGGCTGCATCGCCTCCATCCCCCGGCTAAATCCTGCGACGATTGTCATGCCAGAATGCGCACTTCCGCGTCCGCATTTAGTTAGTTGTTGTGTCTCTGGGTGAGTTTAACAGTAAATTGAATTAAAATTTATTGTGCAAATTGCAGAATTCCGAAATCGCGCTGCGATGCACACAGGACTCGCCGAGACAGCGGCGCAAATCCAATACAAATAAAATTAAGTAAAAATGCACAGAGCTGGGGCCGTAAAGGGGTTACCATTTACCATTGGGGGTTTAAATATGTACGTATATATACGTCTGTGTGTGCTGGCACAGAAATATGCAAATGCGATATTGTCGCTGGGCGACATTTACAACAATTACAATAACAACGAAGGCACCTAACTGCGTGCGACATGTGACACGATATTCAAATAAAGGCGTTGGGGGCGGGGCCATTTATAGCATATATTTTGCATAAAGGGAAATATGCAGCGGGAGCTGTAACTGCTGGAAATAAGAAGGCAAACGGGAAACGAGCGAGAGCAGCGCAGAAATCAAATAAAACAAATTTGGAATTTTACAGCAGACAAGGAACCAAGTTCCCGAGGAGCAGCCTTTTCCAAGGAACCCAGGAACTGCTTATGTGCGACAATGTCCTGCTCCTCGTCCTCGATTTCCATCTCGTCCTGGCTGCCCCCACATGTTCCTTAAACTGTCAGCAATGTGCGAGTGCGAGAGTGCGAGTGCCAGTGTGCCAGTGTGTATGTTATGGAAACAAACAGACTGACATTCAATTTAAATTCCTATACAAATAATTGCATGGCATTGGCGTGGGCCAAGGGGGTGCGATAAGGGGGGTCGCCGTGATTGCTGCCGCCTGCTAACGATAGATTGCAGCCCCCGGGATAGAGCCCTAACCTGAACTAAACTCGATTTTTTTGCAATATTTATGCACAAAGCGAATCGAGGACACTGGGGTGTGGCTGAAGGGATTGTTGTTATTGCCAGTTGCAAAAATTAACTCGGATCTACACTGTGGGAAAACACTACGAAATCGATGGACTAATTAAGTTTGGATAGATAAAATATAGCCTTAATTCAAAAATAATTGTTAACGCATTTTAGATAAAGAACTTATATAATAATTCATTGTAAACAGGTCATATGTATACATATGTATTATGATTTTAATCAAATTTCAAAGGTTGTATAGCCTATTTAAAATTTAAATTAAATATATAAGTTTTAGCTTGCTTATGGAAATTACGAAAAATCATACATTCGAAATTGCTCAACTCTATAAATAGAGTATAATAATAGAGTTATTTGAGTATTTATAATCACTCTTGCCAAATAGAACTAGTTCAACTAATAGAGACTTCGACTTATGGAAGTTCAACTCTATTTTTTAAATGTTCTTTGGACTTATACAACTTTTCCCATAACTTGTATTATATTATAAATGAGATACATTCTAAAAACCTTTGATGTTTTTCCTCAATTTCCTTATCTGCTAACCTTCTGATTTGCCTAGCTCAATGTCAATGGCCAGACTGAGGCTGTGATATATATATATGCACCAGAAAGTCATCTGGCAAATAATTATAAATTCCCGGCGCTGCTCGTCTACCTGGATGCTTGCCGGCTTTATCCCCGCGCCATTATCCGTGGCTCATCATCAGCTAAACCGAAAATAAATGCCATTTCGAGCAAATTTCGCAATGCAGCGCACGCACAGGACGACAAGCCACGACCAGGGCCACAAGGATGTGCTGGCTTTTGTCCTTGCCAATTGGACCTCACCTGGCTGTCCTCAAGTGATGGGATAGGTACTATTTTTTGGAACATTTTATAAAATTTCGGTATATATAGGTACTTGCTTATTAAATACCAAAAAGTATTAAATATACAATAACACAAATGTTTTTACCCTAATATTATCCTTAACATTTATATTTTTCTTAATAAATACATAATAAATTAAATGTTCTTTTAATTTCCAGCTGCTTAATATTACAGGTAAGTAACAAGGAACTAAATATAGCACTACAAGTTAAGATATTTAAAAAAATGCCATAAATAAATTTAAAAAAAAATCTTTTTGAACTTTTAAATTTGATAACGCCCATAAGTTAGCTAAAGTATATTATAATAAATCATAAGCATGGATAATTTTTCTGTCCCGTGATAAAAGTCCCTGTTTGATAGGTACCTAGAAATGTACCCATATTAATCTTACCGGATTTTTCGCCAACACTGCTCCCCTAACTCACCTGATATGGGGGTTCCGTGGCACCCAAAACATTATCGCCGCGCTTATCGCGTCGTCATCATCGGCGTTATCAACAGCTTAGCCTCGCCGCAAAAACTTTGCAAGTGCGCCACGTTCCGCTGCAGTGACTGCCACGCCCCCAGCGCGCTTCACCGCCCCCGCCGACTTACCCATTCCGTGCGCCTCAATAATTTTGATCAGATTTTCTGACGCTCTTGTCCAGCGGTGGTGTCGTGCTTCCTACAATATTTTTGCATTTATAATGCAATTCATCGTTCATTTTTCATACTTGCACAAAGTGGATTTTTATTAGATTCCCTTTATTCTCGGTTATTTTTTTCCTTGCCTTTTGCCCCTCGCTTTGTGAACTTTGTTTTTGCCATGCGTACCCAGCACTTCGCCGGGTTTTAATGTGGTCTGGCCATATGGAGCGATGGGCAGCTTGAAATTTCAATATCATCGAACTGGGAATGAGCAACAGAAACCAATAAATTCCAAATAAGGATAAGAATGCATTCGCCGGGTAAACAAAAACTATTGGCAGTGAGGTTAAGGATTTTTGAGGAGGATTTTTGAGGAAAAGCTACCCTTTGTTTGAGGTCTCTTTGCCAAATGAAAACCAGCAACCATTTAAGAATAATATTTATAAAATAATTCATTCACCTTGATTTTAAACGATTAATTGATTTTATCAATAAATTTGTTCAATGTAGAAAGCAATATGAACTGCAACATCAGTAGAAATAAAAAAAAAGAAAGATATCATTTGGAATGTATGTTATGATATGATATGATTTGCCAAATATCTATTTACCAAAATATCTAAATCCTGCTTAATTTGCAAATCAAATAGTTCTTATGCTATTGCTTTAGATAATAAAATGAAATATATTTTAAAGGTAGTTTACTTTATTTGAGTTCCCCATTTACTGACATCCCACCGATTGGAATTTACCCCCACTCAGGTTTTAATAACTGCAAAAGTTCAAAGTGCGTGGCTTCATTTATTATGCATATTTTCCGCACAATTTGTCAATGCCGTTCGCGGCTGTATGAGGCCGCCGAGGAAAAACTATTTGGAAAACAAACGCAAAACAGCACTCCACACACATTGCAAATTTTCTATTAAATAAACTGTCAGTCATTGACGTTGGTGCGTCGTGGACGTGCGGATGGGATGCGAAAGTCATACCCGATGATGTTCCAAATAATTGCACTTGGGTGTGGGAAATAGGATGGCGATGGGATGGTATGGGATGGGAAATATTAACGGCATTTTTAGTGAGCGGCACGCAGACAAAGGATAAGAATAGCGGCCATGCCACCGCAGCATATTATTTGCCCGTCTGGGCCGTAATTGAATGTTGCACGTAAAATATTGCGAGGAAAGTGAGTTGGGTTCATTACGGGGTCACACAACGTGAGTGTTGGGGAAGACATACCTCATATCGAACGCATTGACAATGAGTGGCAAAAAATATAATGACTGAATGCCAGAAATATGTTGAAATATAATATCTGTAGGACTTGAATTCCGATTTAAAGAGTTTTAAATGGAGATTTTAAAAGATATTTTAGATACCGATTGGGAAAACGAAAGTTAAAGTAGTAAATAAGAGGGCGAATATTTTTGAAAAGTAAAATATAATAAATATGGCTGTATATTCGGTTATAAGTTAATTA